CGGGGTTGAGAACCGGACTAATTTTCTTTTTCAACATTAGCTGTTGGACCAGCCACCAGCCCCTAGTCTCTCCCTTTTTTTCCATCAGTAGCCTCAGGGTTTGTTAGCGGCTCTCCCTCCCACGCTCCAAGCCCATGTGTTTGGGGTGGGTGTTTTCAACTCTGAGTATGGAACCCATTACCCAGGCCACAGCCACTTTGAGCATTGCCTTCCCTTAGTTGTAGTGATTGGTCCAGGAATGGTAGTGTGATCTAATTGAGTCATACTAAATCTTAAGACTTTTATGAGATGGAGGGAAAAAAAAAAAGTCAAATCTTTCCTTCTGAATGGAACCCAGGAGATGAGCAATCAGAACGGCTGCTGGCGTCTTGTCACCAGGTTGGGGAGAAGGGCGGAAGCTAACGTAGTGTAAGGGAGACCTGAGAGAGGGAGAGAGGCCAGATTCTAAGGACATGGAACCTGAATAGAGCAGTTTCTAAAGCCATTTGTCCTCTCTGACCATCAAGTTAAATGAGCCATTAAATTTCCTACCTATCTGAGGTTTATTTTCTTTAGCCTCTCACAATAGAAAGTGTCCTAACAAATACAGTGTTTGTATCACTTACTTTTATCTTGTGCATTTTTGTCCTGGATTACATTTTGAACTATACTATGTAAGTACCTAGATCATAGTAGATTCTCAGCCAGTGTTCGTATGCTTATCACCTCCTACATTATTTATCACTATCTTCATATTATTTAGTATTTTTATTTCTGGGTATCTTCTTTTCCCAACTAATTATATTTGTTGATTCATTTTTATTCATGCATTTATCAGTTATTTATTGTGCAAGGCACCAAGGATTCAATCCTGACAAAAGCAAACATGTCCTTGGACAGTCCAATAGGGGAATTAGAAATTAAATTAGCACATAAATAAGTGTCATATATTGCTAAAATGAAAGTCAGCACAGAGATACTAGTGATAGGAGAGTGTATGTAGTGGGGGGTTTTGCCCTAGTTGGAGAGGTCAGGGAGGGCTTTTCTAGGCAATGACAGTGGCATGGGAATCCGAAGGATGGGTAGGAGCCAACTAAATTAAAAGTGCAGAGTGGAAAAGATGTTCTAGTCAGGAGGAACAGCATGCACCAAACAAGGCTCATAGTGGGCAGATAACAGTACATTTTGTGAATTGATAAAGGGCTAATAGAGCAAAGGCGAGACTGTGAGAGGATATCATTTCTTTGTTTATGTTGAGAGCAGTGGTAAGGCATGGCATGTATGTGTATATGGCAAGACAGATGTGGAAGGTGACATGATTAGATCGGAATTTAGAAAATATCACTCTGGGGCGCCTGGGTGGCTCAGTTGGTTAAACGACTGCCTTCGGCTCAGGTCATGATCCTGGAATCCCGGGATCGAGTCCCGCATTGGGCTCCCTGCTCGGCAGGGAGTCTGCTTCTCCCTCTGACCCTCCTCCCTCTCATGCTCTCTGTCTCTCATTTTCTCTCTCTCAACTAAATAAATAAAATCTTAAAAAAAAAAAAAAAAAGAAAATATCACTCTGGTTGCCATGTAGTAAATGGCAGAGCATGCTGGTGGATAGGGCAGCACAAGTCGAAAAGTGTTGCAGTTAGCTTGGGAAAGATTACGGTGGCTAGAGAAGGAGGTAAGTGGACAGATTAGAGGTATAGCAAGGAGATAAAAACAGTAGGACTGGGTGTTGTACTTTAATAAAAAGTTATACTTGATCTTGCCCTGAAAGAACAATTAAGGGACCTGGAAAAACTGCAAATTCTGAATACAGTCTAATAAATGTGCTATTGATAGTATGGACACAAGATTATGGTTTGGAAACACTGAGAGTTCTGGAAAGGCTATATAGAGGAGTAAATATTTAATCTGGACCCTGGAGGACTAGCAGGATTTCTTTTCCAATTTCAAGTGAAGTTTTAGGCAGAGGGACAGCATCTACATAAGACCAGTGTGAAAGTATATTTTGTTAATTAATTGGCTAATTAATTACTTCACCTGTAACTTTTTTTTTTTTATTCCTCTTTGTGCCAGGCATTGTCCAAAGAACTGGCCATCACATTCTAAATAAATATGATGTCTGATAATGATAATGCTTGAGAAATGGCAATTTCTCCTGCCTGGTAAGAATGTGGGGGTATGCAGTGCATATGGTGGAAATATAAAGGGCTTTGATTTTTGTGCCAGGCACTTAAGACTGAAGGTTATGGCAGTGAGAGTCCCTCCAGTTTCTTCTGCAAGAGAGTTTGAGCAGTGTGGGGCTGGCAGCAGGGAGCTAGGGAGATTGGGGCTGGCATGACAGCCTCATGTAACAGGCTATCTAAGTGTTGATGAGACTTTGAACCTAATAGCAGCGGGAGTGAGAGGAGGGCTGGATTCCAGAGATATTTTTGAGAAAGAGTAAATGGGACTGGAAAGGGACCCGGGTTTAAGGGATAAAAAGTCAAGGGAGATTTTGAATTTTCCTGCTTGGGAGTCTCGGCAGGTGGTAATGCTATTCCCTGGGCAATATGGGAAGGTGAGAAATTTAAGGATAAAGACAATGAGCTAATCTGGATATATTAAATTTGAGGTACTTGTAGTTTAATTAGGTATAGATGTTTAGGAGTCTTTCCATATCAAAACAAGAATTATAACCTCAAAAGAAAGATTTCTAAGAAAGATAGAAAGAACCATTATGGAGTAGTCTGGGAGCCTAGCAGAGTGGGCAGGAGGATGTGGTGTCATTGAAGTGAAAAGAGGCAGAAGTGTTAGGAAGAATGGCAGCAATAGTCAATGAGATCAAAAGCTGCATGTAAGTTAAGTACTAAGAACACAAAGTAGAAGTCATGAGATCTGGCAGTTCCATCATTATTGGGGCCTTTTATTGAGTAATTATGTGGTGTTAGGGAATTTGTGGTCCAGTAGCAAGAGGGCTGGCTGAGGAGTGCGTGAAAAGAGAGGACAAGGGGCAGTGAATGCACCTGTTCTTTCACAAGAGTGGGAATGGCAAGAAAGAGGAGAGGGAAAACTTGGCCACATGCGCAGAAAAAATCAAAGGGATTTTATGGTCCATGGAGACAGAGATATTGAAGAGAAAGCCAATACTTAATAAGTTCAGGAAACTGGCTAAAAACTGGATGAACAGAAATACAGGGGATAGATCAGGAAAGGAGATAAAGGAGATGAGAACTCATCTCTGACCAAGAGTAGAAGGTGAGACAATGGATGAAGGGGAGCATAGAGACTGAAGAGTAGTCTGTTCAGAATTCAGTTCGGTGCCAGGCCTTCTACTATGCAATGTTTTTGAAGCCCTAAGACACACAAAGCATTCAAAAGAAATGAGATCACTTTAATTTTATTTTAGGCATCTTGCTGTGTCAGTATAGGCTGATTAATAAAGACATGCAGTAGAAATGGGCAAGCTGTGTTTGAGGAAGTTGAGGTGTTTTTGAGCCAGCTGCCCTGTCTCTGGGATTACGGCTATATCAGCTCAGCTTAAGGATTTATAATACTATTGGAAGGTCCTGTCTGATGCTGAACACCCAATGAGGGGTCAGTCATACCTGCTGCATTGAATTTGATTAAGGTGGATTATTTGTGGTGTCTCATATTCCTGCCTTTAGAACAATTTCTATGCAATTATAGGGCTGCTTGGGGACAAGGCATATCGGGTAGTCTAGTTATTTAGTTCATATCAATTCCAGGCAGGGCAATGGCTAACCCGTCCAGGAATACACCTTGAGCAGAAAGCTCTCCAACTCTATCCCTTCCTTGTTTCCCTTGGTGAGCTCTGCTCCAAAGACTGCCCCATCTCCCAATTCCTGTAAGTGTTGAATGTCCTCAAGAGGGTAAACCCTGGAAGACTGCAGATTTTAAACTGGGCTCTCATCCAACTGGGGATCCTTACACTTAGGAATTTGAGATCACATAAGCTATCTCCTTCTTTTAAAACTTCTTCCTTAACCCACCGATGGGGAAACCAAGGCCCCCAGAGATACAGTGATTTAATCAAGGTCACACAGTAAGTTTATATTAAAGCTAGCTCTCCAATCTAGGATTCTGAGCACCCTCCTCTAAGCAGGTGATGTAATTGCTGAGACACATTGCCATTCTCTCTGCTTTATGTTTCCCTCATTAATGGATTTCTTTCTTGCTTCCTCAGACTTCAGCAAGTGTTCTTAAACAGGGGTGAAAGAACCAAGAGGAAAAATGGAATGGCTTTTAAAAAGAGACCTGCATGTAGCCTGGGGGATTGCTTTCTTCTTACAATGAAAAAAATCATTCCCTTCTGTGTAATCCATCTATCTGTTGCTATATTTATTGGTGTTTAAATTCTGGCGGCCACTGTGGTGAAGAACAGATTTTTCTGGCCCTTAAGACCTGGAGATGGGATCAAGAGCCTTCAAAGAAAGAGTGGGTTATTTTAAACATGGAGGAATTTATTCTGCTTTTTACTACTGTGCCTCATTTTGAGAAAAGCCTGTTTGGGGAGACCCCTACATTAAACTAGTTCAGTAAGGAGTGAATGTTTGCATTAGCAGAGGGGTCTTCTCTTTTCAAAGGAAATCTCCTTCAGTGCTGTAAACTTCCCTAATGATTTTAAATGTTGATATATCAATTAACACTTGCCAGCATGGCATGGGAAAGAGAAGTCTCTAGAATCTCAAACACAAATGTTAGGCCCTGCTGTTAATGAAAAATTAATCAGAAATAATAAACAATATCCCTGAAAAAGAATGGGTATCAGCAGAGAAAATTGGCTTTGGTTTATAAAAATTCGGCTCACAGGTACTTCGGAGCAACACCTTAGAGAAGAAAAAGTGAGGATAGCTTAGATTGACTTTATGCTCATCTCAACAGCCACACTCTGAAAGAGTCCCCATTATTAGGAAAGAAAATGGGAGGAGGTTCAGAAGGTTCTCTGGCTTCTAAGCACAGAGCATCACACTGGATGTGATGTGAGGCCCACCCTGGTTGAGGCACCCACAGCATTGTCAGGTACATACATTTTCTCCAGGTCCCCAAATCCAGAAAATGCTCCTTTAGGGATGACTCGAAGCTTGGTGAGGACAAACCTCCTGAAAAGAGAGTGGACATAAGATATCACAACCTCTCACTGATCCATAATTGACTGCCTAACCTGTACTGGCAGTCAACAGCCAACATGTATTAAGTGTAGTCATTTAGTAGTGGTAGCAATTGCTTTTACATGGTCTCTCTTCATCCTTACCACAAAGTGGTGATCCTCATTTTACATAAGAGGAAACAGGTTTAGTGAAGTTTACAGATTTGCCCAGGGTCACTCAGGTGATGGGTGATGGGTGACAGAGTTGGAATATGAACCCTCTCATCAGTACTCCATGTTGTGTCCTGTAGCCTTCTGGGAGGTCCCTTCTTTTTCTCTACACCAACCCACAAAACCTCTTCCCTTATTGTCATTCTTAGCTGACCTTGCTTCCTATTTCAAGGAGAAAATGAACCCAGTAGAAGAGAACTTGCTCATGTTCTCACATGACTTTCAGCCATTAAGCCATCTGCACCCTGCCTCCCTCTTGTTACCAAGGGTGACCAGGACTCTGGACCTGGCTGAGAACAGCTCCTCCAATCCACATCAGACCTCTCCTCCTCTCTTCTAGTAAAGGTAACAACTATAGCAATTTTCCCCTTTCTTGTGTACATTTTATTCACCTATTTTTGCTTCTCTAACTGGATCCTGCCCATCAGTTTACAAACATACCATAATTTATTTCATCAAAAAAACTCTACTCTTAATCTCAGTCACCTTCAGTTTTTGCCATTTTCTTCTGCTTGAAATATTTGTCTAATCCTACCCCAAAGTTTCTTCCAATGGCTCCTTATCTCAGTCAGGAAAAACCCACATTGTATACAGTGATGTACAGGACCCTCCAGGATCTTCCTGCTGTCCCTTTCCATGGATCCTCTACCCTCCATTTTGACAGTTTTCCCCTTTGCTTATCTTGTTCTTATTGCAGTACTCTCTTGCTAGTTCTTGGACATGCCAGATTCCTTCTTGCCTGTGTTTCTGCATTTGCAGTTCTCTCTGCCTTGAGCACTCCTCTCTTGGATAGCCTCATGGCTTCCTCCTCCAGCCTGCTGTTTGCTCAAATGTCACTTGCTTAGTGATACTTTTTCTAACCATCCTATTTAAAACAACAATCTCCTCTACTTAGCCTCTGGCCCCCTTTCCTGCTCAGATTTTTCTTCACAGCACTTCTGACATGTTATATATTATATTTATTCATCTATTTATGTATTCATGTATTTATTTATCTCTAACCTATAACTAGAATACAAACTCTGTGAGGACAGGAATTTTTGTATAATTTGTCTGTTACGGTATACCAGATGCCCTGGAACATTGACTGGTATGTAACAAGTATTCAAAAAATTTTTCTTAAATGGATGTTAATCAGTCTGAGAGTTCTAAGCTTGAGGAATTACAAGTGACCCTTTTGGAATCTCTATAACAGGAATACTATTCCTTCCTTTGGCTTTCTCTTGCTTTGTAACTGATACATATGTACTCCTCCCCCCACAGCCTCTCCCCCCCCAACCTTAAATCTTTCCTTCCACAAGGTGGTGTGTCAGCAGAAATTAAATAATGAAACACTGAGGATTTGGATAGTTGAGTAAACCTTAATTGCTTCAGTTTCCTACTACTTACTGGTGTGAGTTAAAGTCCTGTTACAGATAAAGTTATTCAGGCAAACAGTTCTTTAACTTTGTTTGCCTTTGGCTGTCATGTGGGCCAGTTCTATGGGGAAGAAGCAGGAGAGAGAATCTTAAGTACTGTTTTTGTTCTGGAGGAGTTTATATATGTGGGAAGGTAAAGCAAGAAACCTTGGAATCACCAGAAAACAGTTGATGTAAAAACTATAAATGTTATGCAAATATTGAAGTGAGAAAGATCCCAAAGTACATAAATATATAAAAGGAAGGTGGGAAGAAGTGGGTGAATTTGAGCCTGGGTCTTAAAACCATCAGGTCATACTAAAAGCATAGTCTATATGAAACCATTTAAATAAAAAGGGATCTAAATTAGGATTGCGAGCAATCTATCTGCAAGTGTCAACTTCTAGAACTCCCATCTGAAAAGAATCAAGGTTAAGGTACTCATTTAATCTTAGTTAACATAGAAAAGTTCCTTTTGTTCCTATTTATCACAAGACAGAAGAATGATGAAAACAAACTAGAAAAAGCAAATAATAAGTCAACTAGATACTGTTTTTTGATTCAACCCTAGTAGCAGACACATTATCTAAAATTTCCAACACCTCTACCTGTACTGTTTCAAACTTATTAACGTAATTAAATCTTTTTTTTGAAGATTAAAAGTCTTGACTCCCATTTCCTGAAATGTTATAAACTAGATAACCTGAAGATATTTCCACTAAAAATCACCCAGAAGTCTTCTATAAGTCATAACAAATACACTTTTAATTGCATAGCTTATAAGAAAGTATGAGAAATCCCCAGGGGCCCAAAGTAAAGCCACTGAATACCAGATGGAACCCTGAATGGTGTATGCCAACAGAAATTGAAGAGGGTAAGCTGAAGCTAAAGTATTCAGGGTGGAAGGCAGTTTCTGGACTTGGTAACCAAGCACTTTGTGTTTTGATGCTATGGTGTTGGGTGAGTTGAGATATAGAAGATGAAATGCGAAGATTTATTTCTGTGTGCTATCTCATGCATTCTAGGAAAAACAAGGTGCAGAAAATGGAAGACAGGCAATTTTTAATGAAATGATGTCTGGAAATTTTCCATAACTTATAAAAGACATCAATCCTCAGATTTAGAAATCTCAAGTCCTAGGAAGGGAAACAAAAATAAACAAACAAACAAAAATAAATGCCAGATACCTGTGAATTAGAACTGTGGAACCAAAAAAGAAACTATTTTAAGATATATTATCTTCAAAGAAAAATAATTAGAAAACTTTGTAAAAAATCTTCAAAATTATTAGAGAAAATAACTGCCAGTTTAGAATCCTATATCCAGAAATAAGCATTCAAATGTGAGGGTTAAATAAAGACCCTTTTAGACAAATTTAATTAGCCATTAGTGAAATTTTAGCAAAGGAATTCCTTCAGAGAAATAAAATTTAATCTAGTAGGAAGGCACAAAAAACATAAGAATAGTGAACAGGAAAATTAGTGTGCCTTATTGAATAGGTGGATTTTCATAATGTTTGGAAAACTTACCTATTCAATAAAGAACACTGGAAAAAATACTGACCAAGAACTAGGTCACAAAGTAAATTGGTGTAGAATAAATAATTTTGTTTAACATACTGTATGTAAATTACTTAAAAATCAGTTATGAGAGATAATAATTAATAGCCCCCACCCCCATAACACATGTACAAACATCTAGAAAGTCAAAACTAAATCAAACCAAAACAAAAAACCCACTCTTTTAAGTCACACATGGGTCAAAGAAGAAACTACATCATAATTAGGAGTTGTTTGGAATTGAACTGTAGTGAAAACACAACATGAAACTGACAGGATGCAGTTAAACCACCACATACAGAGAAATTAATAGCTTTAAATTATTATACCCAGAAAGGAAACAAGATGGAAAATTCACAGCTACATTTCCAACACAGGAAACTAGTGAAGGAACAACAGAACAGTGGAAACAGAACTATAAAGTCAATATTTACTCCATTTCTGGCCAGAACTTTACGTACAAACTTAATAAGAAAATTGGGGAAATGAGGGACTGTTGATAGAGATATTTTGAGAAGATAAACGCTCAGCTAGACTTTACAACTTGATGTATAGATACAGTTTAAGTTTAATCTATACTAACTTGTTTCACTTATTATAAGGTTAAGTTTCTTCATTAGTTTATTGTTAACATGGGTAAGGAGCTTTCTTAGAATATTGAAAGGTTTATTAGAATAGTTTCAAGAATTTTGACTTAACAACTTTAACACTAAAAATGACTGTTTTCGAAAAGTATATTTATCTGAATGTTTCTTGAAGGAGACCATTTATCACTTAAAGTTGCAAAGTCTACTTACATGTTTATTTTAACCAGCAACTTTCTGATAATTGATTCATTATTTTATTGAACTAGCTCTAATTAACTAATAAAGTTGTGTTCAGATTTCCTTTAAATCAGGAATATTGGTTAAGGCATTATTTTTGGTGAATTTTCATTTTAGAAATAAAAAAATAAATGAGAATCTAACAGATTAAAACACATTTCAAAGTTTAACACTGCCTTGAGAGAAGAAACCTAAAGAGAATAGAGGCAAAATAATAAAGATAAGAGTAGAAATTAAAGATTATAATAGAGAAGATCAGTAAAATAAAAAGCTATTTTTTAAGAAAGATCAATAGAATAAAAAATCTGTTCACTTCAACCAAGAAAAAAAAAAAACAAAAAAAATGAGTCATGAGAAATGGTGCTTAAGTTAAGATGTTAGTTTTTGTTTTGGATGTATTGTTGACACAATGCTGCATTAGTTTCAGGTATACAACATAGTGATTCAACAACTCTCTATGTTCTGCTACACACACCACAAATGTAGTTTCCATCTGTCACCATAAAACACTATTACAGTACCACTGACTATATTCTCTATGCTGTACCTTTCCTCCCCATGGTTTAAGCATTCCATAATTGGAAGCCTGTATCTCCTATTCTCCTTTACTCATTTTTCCCACCCCCCACTCCCTTCCCCTCTGGCAACCATCAGTTTGTTCTCTGTATTTATGGGTCTGTTTGTACTTTTTTGTTTGTTCATTTGTTTTGTTTTTTAGATTCCACATATAAGTGAAATTATATGGTATTTGTCTTTCTCTGACTTTAGTGTAATACTCTCTAGGTCCACCCATGTTGTCACAGATGGCAAAAGTCATATCATTTTTTATGGCTGAGTAATACTCCATTGTGTCTGTGCATGTGTGTGATGTGTGTATGTGAATTCATGCATACACACACATATATACACACATATACCTCCATACTATTTTCCACAGTGGCTGTACCAGTTTACATTCTCACCAACAGTGCACAAGGGTTCCTTTTCCTCCACATCCTCCCC